ATAATTACGACTATATATTTTTGTCAAATGCAAAAAGTAAGCTGTCGACTTCGAATAAGTATCACGAAAAAAACTAATCAAATATATCAGGCTTATAATGTTGTACGCCAGACCTGCGTTGTGTCTACAAAAGACTGATCAGTGACGCTCCAATCAAAAAAGTTAAAAGGCAAAATAAACGTACGCAGTTGAAGAGCATTGGGGATTAAACTAAGGCCGCTGATTTTTGATGTGAAAATTTCAAATAAGTCAACAATATAGCGAACACTGGTAAAATTACTTTTAACTGAACAAAGACTAGAAAAAACTGACTTATACTGTATATTTATAAAGCCAATCGCATTCGCTACATGCAAGGGCTGTACCTTGGATATTTTTTTTAATGATTACAGCCTAGTCTCATAAACCATAACTTATTCATAAAATCAGTGCCCTATTCATTTATATTTGCATGCAACTAAATAATGCTTTAATTAAGGAATAATTTTCTTCTATGTTCTAGGACTTAATAATGTCATTTTGCTATTAGTAAACGAATTAAACTCATCATAGATAGCATGATTTAAAATTTGTACGCCAGACGCGCATTTCGTCTTCAAAAGAGTCTTTAGTAACGCTCGAATCAAAAAAGTTTAAAAGGCCAAATAAAGTACGAAGTATGAGTTTCATAAGAAAAGATTAATTTCTGCATCTATCAACTACATTGTACTAGTATTTTTAATAATACTTTATAGAGATTAATCTTTTTTTAATTATTATTGATTTATGATATTTTTTTTTAGTTCTCGATATTTTCGAAATATTAGATCACAGTGATGACAAAGTTTTCAACTACTTAGATTAACTTGAGCGTAGATAAAAAAAAAAAGCCTTTTCATTTGAACATTTCAAAATTTCGATTTGAATTTTTTTTTTAAAACTTTTTTTATGTTTCCAGAGTCTGTTTTTGACAGTTTTTTACTTCCAATCTTCCCGATTTCTCATCAATCTTTTTTTACTTCCAATCTTCCCGATTTCTTATTAATCTTTCAGAGTTTTCATTTTGCTCTTCATAGAATCACTATTTAATTCGAACCCTGCTTCATCTTCTTTATAAATTCAGTCCGACTTTACCAGTATAATGTTTATAATCCTCGTCGATATTGTTGATAAGATAAGACAGCATTTAATGGTATTATTAAAAAATGAAAACTTTTATAAAATATCCACTGTTGTGTGTACTGTTGTTTGTCTGTTTGTGTTTGTCTTTTTTAGCCATGGCGTTGTCAGTTTAATTTCGACTTATGAGTTTGAATGTCCCTTTGGTATCCTTCGCCTCTCTTTAATCATTTGTTAGAGTGATGCTACCAGATAAAAGGACATTCGAATAGTTATTATAGGAGTCTTCACGATTTGACCTTCACCGAAATCAAGGAATTCAGAACAATTGCGCATTAAAGTAGGAACATGACGTCTGTTTTAATATAAGCATTTTTTATTTGAAAACATGACCGATTGGAGTGATATACTAAAGCTTTATGAATATATATACGTATTATATATTCCAACAGAATAGTTAATTGAATTAATTCATATATCTGTAAAAAATGTTTGGTTCATATGAAATATTCTTTTTTTTTTGACTGAAATTAAATTTACCTGTCATAAAAAAAGAGGAAATTTTCAGTCCATTCAGAATTTTTTAATCAACTATTATTTCATGTAATCCATAAGATATGCACTTATTACTCCTGCTTACTTTGGAGATCTCTATAGACATATTTTTTAATTACCCAGAATTCAAACATTTTGTGAGGAAATGAGCGCACTCTTCCTATTCTTCATAACTGTTTTAGAATTAAACCATTCTTTTAAGGAAGAATACACACACTGTTAAACGATGAAATAACCATAGGCACCTACTTAAACGTTGGAATTAAAAATTAAGTTATATAAACATATAGCGTATAACTGATTAAGCCAAATGTATTGGGATCTGTAAACAAAAGGGGTGTACAAAGAACAGCCGGAATTATATAAGGCCAATTACCTAGAGGAGTTTAAACCTAAATTTAATTATACCATAATAGAAAAATAAATCATTTCAATCTGAATGAGAATTAATGTTAATGTATGTATATTGTACTTGTCAAGTTGAACCTTTTTTAATTAAGTGCCCGTGGCGAGTAGATACATCTTAATCCACCAGATACTTCAAATCCAATTAAAATTTAAATGTAAAAAAATGAGTATGTGAATTCCTGAAAATATAATTAAGGCGACAGTAACTTACCGATGTTCAAATCTCGTAAATCCACTTTGAAGAGACTAATCAAAATAACAAACAGAAACTGAGGGAATCGCACGAACTTCAAAGGCTCGAGAACGGATTCGTCGACAGGGTAAACGTCTCCTGCTATGCATGCATCACCCGCCATGCGAATTCACACTCAGTAAAAATGATGCAATCGGGGATAGGACACAATCGGTAAAATTACAGATCAGACGACTACACTCGTATCAAAAGATCTAAGACCGCGAAAACATGCCACTGGTGAGTTGATACATCGACACATCGTATCTGTCAACCAATTTGTGATGGTGACCGAAACACTTATGTAGTGTCTATTTCAGACGTTCTTTCTCATAACTCTGTTGAAGCAGCTTTGCCAATAAAGTCTGTATCGTGTGTGCATGCACTGGCATAACGTATTAAAAAGTAAAATAACAAAAGAACCAAATTCCAAGAAAAATTGAAAACGGAAAGTCCTTTATCAAATGGCAAAACCAAAAGCTCAAACACATCAAACACATGGAAAACAACTGTAATATTCTTGACTTGGTACAGGCATTTCCTTATGTAGAAAATGGTGGATTAAAACTGGTTTTATAGCTAAATAAACCTCTCAGTTGTATGACAGTCGCATAGAATTCCATCATATTGACAACAATGTGTGAGCGAAACAAACATACATACTTATAGGTAAAATGTCAAAAATTGCGGTTCAACAGTCAACATTGAGTTATAATCTTAATCACTATATATATAAAAACAAATAATTCAACAGAGAAAAACAAATGGCTTATATACACTCTATAGACAAAGTACATAAGTAAAAATAAAAGACAAGATTACAAAAATGACCATAGCACAATAACATAATGGCGGGATGTATAAAAACCGAGCCCCGGTATGTAAACGCCATACGAAGGAAGAGAGGGTATGTAAATGTTGATAAATAGGTAGTTGATTATTGGAAAGTTGAAATCATCACCTTTGTCATAGATTCTAGTTTGAAGTCGTCTTTCTAAGTCAATTTCGAAGAAAAGATCAAGAAATGAAGCAGACCTTCTACTTCGTTGCATCCTTAATTTCAGGTTTACTGGGATATATCAGATGTAAGCACTCATTGAAATGTAGGTTATTGAGTGACAGAACATCATCAATATATCTGTAAGTGATATTAAAGAAGTTTGCAAATTGGTTTTTCATTTTATCTTTGAGAGGGTTCTGTATGCATTCTACTTCATATTAGTACACAAAAACCAAGTCGTCCGGTAATGGTGCACAATAAGTACCAATTGGAATACCAACTGTCTGCTGAAATATTATTCCACCAAACTCAACAAATATGTTGTCGTTCAAAAAGTCCAGTATTTTGATGATTTCATCTTCCGTGTATTGTTGTGGGAATCAGTATGATTCTTCACAAAGTAATAATTTTCATGCTCATAAACAATTTTTTTTTATCTATGTTCCCCATTTTGTGGAAAAAAGCTCAGTTTAATGAGACGATGTAGTCGATCTTTCAACTGAGCATTGGGAATAGTATTGTTAAGAGTTGAAAAAACAAAGGTTTTGATATTACTTCAAAATTGTAAAGATTGTGATTGAAGATCTTTTAGTAGATCATAATGCATTTCTCCAAAAATCTTCAAGTGTACAACAAATAAGCTTTCGAACACATCTGTTTATTCTTTGGTTTGAGAATTAGTGTGAGGTCAATTATACTTTAATTTACTATGCCCGTCTACTTTTAAAAGCACCATAGAAAACATGATGTTTTCGAGTCCATACGTTCGTTTGTCGCGTATCAAATTAAAATCATGGTTTAAGGTACTCGACCATACATTTGAAGTCACATTACTTTAAACTTAGTACAAATGTTAATTATGGTGATAACTTTTTTGAAATATATGCCAAATTAGAGTTTTGAACCGGATTTAGTGTGGAACATAGCAGGGAATTGTGATAGTTTAAGCAGGGTATGGTGTCATATGTACATGAATACAACTATTTAAAGACAAAGCAGACAATGGTAAACAAAACAAAAACTGAAAAAAACATATATCTCGATTTATCCAATTAAATATAAATGTCAAACTAACGTCCTATGAATTAGGCTAAGTGACGTTTCAAAAGTTAATCCTTGCTGCATCTTATTGAACTTCGTTGGTGTACTTTATCTAAGTATCATGTATTGATTCGTACATATATATGGGGCAATTGTAAAATTCTGTCACACATACAGTCATTAATTCATTCCTTACACATGTGTAATTAAAGTTTCAACTTCGTAAAGCAAGATAAAAATGAGTTGTTGAAATGAATATGATACAACTATCCGTAAAGACAATATGACAAAAATGTGAACAATTTCAAATTACCGTAAGATCTTCAACAATAAGCAATACCCATACCGTATAGTAGCTATACAAGGCACCGGGATATTTGAAAAAAATCAGTTTCAAGGATCGTGTAGCGCCTATTGCTTCCTTAATTTTAATTTAACGTCGGACAGATTTTCATCGAGCAAACCAAAAATAAGACTTTTATTACAAAATCTGAGATTGATCATCAAAATAAGAAGATGTGGTATGATTGCCAATGAAACAACTCTCCACCAAATGACGTAGATAAAGACCTTTTTTCTATTTGTATTATTTATTCTATCATGTTTTCTGTCTGCATGTAAGAAAAGCTAAAATTTTCCAAAAAAAATTGTTTCCTTTTTTTTTAGTACAACAGATAGAAATGACGAAACAATAGTTATTGAACAGATGACGTTACATCAATGGTATAGTTGCAGGTAAGAATCGAAAGGCAATCCTTGATATAAAGCTGACGTGATACAAGGAGAACCTGCAAACTAACATTTTTACTACCCTAAAAGCATTTTAAAAAGTCATGAAAATTATTCCTGAGAAGCCCAACGAACTATATTATGATTTGCTAGATCCATGCGACAATTTAGAGGAAACCTTATGCAAACATGGACATAGATAACTTAAACTTAGTATACCCTACAATGTATTAGGAAAATGAAGGAACATGTGGAGATGCTAGTCAAGTATATTAAGTTTATAAGTAAGATTCTTATGTCTAGGTTAATACAAAATTACATGAATTTCCCTCAGAAATATGTGTTTGAGCTTTTGATTTTGCCATTTGATAAGGGACTTTCCGTTTTGAATTTTCTATGGAGTTCGGTATTTTTGTTATTTTACTTTTTAGACAATTGATATTAAGTCTATTGTACTAACTGCTACTTAATTTAAAACCAAATGCTATTATTTGTAACATTCAGTCTGTAATGTAGTTTGATGACCTATTTGAAGTCAACCATTTACATGTTTTGTGTCTATTTCAAACAGCTATTTCAGTGAGCAGGACACCACGTGTTAATGAAAATAACCCTTACCACGTCTACCATTCAAATTTCATGTCATTCAGTATCATTTCCCAAATTGATGTTTATGTTATATTGATACGTATTGCTTCTTCTTATGGTTGTAATGTACAATAGACAGTTAGCTACGCAAACACGGATTTATAAGAAGTATGAAGACAATTGAACGTTTTCGGAATATCCACTGTTTTATATCTTTGACTTACATTTTGGTTTTCAAACTTGATGACCAGGATCAAGGTGTTTATACAATCCAATAGGAGGCTGTAAATTAGAATGTGAACTAAAAATTTAAAATGATCTAGATTCTCAATGACTTTATTAATCTTGCTCTTCCTTCTTGTGACGATGTGTTCTCACTAGCATCAATCACGTAACTTTATGAATGTTTGCACTTACTGGGCGAATGGGGGTCGCTGCGAAAAAAAGACTCGCGTGTATTTAAAAAAAAAGCAGAACCAGTGCACTTTCTTGCTGAGAACAATGTTTTCTATATTAAAACATGTATTGACATACTCGTTGTAATTTCATACAAAATTGGGTGTACGTTTTTTTTATCGTATCTAAGTACCTAGTAATGAATAGTTGACATAGAATTCCAGATAATTTACTGTATTTTCATTTCATCAGTTGGTTACAAATATTTATATTTTCAAATACTAGTACTAAGGATTTTTTAACCCTAAGAATAGAGTACCTTTGGTGTATTTGGCAAAAACTTTCGAAAAAATTTGGGTTCTGAATGCTCTTCAACTTTGTACTTTATTTGGACTTAGATATATTTTTTTTAAACGTAACTAATGAGTCTTTTGTAGACGAGACGCGCGTCTTGCGTACAAAAGTATAATCCTGATATCTTTGATTTGTTTTGGTTATATTTTTATAGTACGTTTTTTATGTCTCTTTATTAACCCACCGTTTGTGATTACTGTGGATTCATTATTATTCGTTGGATACCAATTTTTGTGGTTTTCGTGGATACAGCTGAACCACGAATACAAATATTCAACGAATTACAAATTTTCTATAAGCCTTGTATGCAGAGATTGACAAAACCACGAAATCAAATATCCACGAAAATGCCAGTTTTCCTCAATCCACGACAATTGATACCCACGAAAATAAATGATTCCACAGTATAAGAATTTGAATGAGCGTTTCAACAGTAGTACACATTTCCATACTATCGAAATGAAATTCAGTGTTAAACATTACTGCTGAAGATAAATTAATTTCATACCAACTGAGGAGGGTCACAATGGTTAATATTGTCCCTAAAAATCTAGATATCTAAGATAAAGTTATATGCAACGAGTTTCTTGTAATTTTAATGTTATCGAAATTATTGAACAAATGCATGCATATATACTACAGTAAGGCCGGCATTCACGTTTTTTTTAATATTTATTACGAGTCTATAATGTATTATCGACAAAGAATATTTTATTCAGTGAATGTTTATCGCAAGCTAATTATTTTTCGAGTTTTTTGCCGAAGTTTACCGGATCGTGACATTGATAAACAATCAACACAGAGCACGTGGAAGACGGGACAAATAAGTGAATTGATAGCGCCCATGATATATTTTTTTATATTTTCCATGCGTTCACATTTGTTTATTAAACTTTTCCTTAACAGTTGATAAATGATTTGTTGTATTAAATTTCTTGTTTAAAAATCAGTTCTTACTATTTACCTTCCAGTGCACGTTTGTTTACATTCTTTCATCACGGTTTTCCTCTCGCACTTGTGCTGTGCGGTGGCCGAAGTTTTAACCAGAGGTCTCGTAGTTAAGGTCGCTGCATACGGAAAAATGACGGCGAATTAGTGTACGGGAAGACACTAATACAATTGCAGTACATTTATGAAGATTTTTGATATTATAAAGGATTTTTTTTACAAGAAGGTTCACGTACACTTGTTTTATAGTAAAGCTTAGCCATTCAAGTATATAAAACATATTCAACTTTTTTTTTAAATTTGAAGTTTCGTATGACTTTAAGTAACAACCACTAGCATTCGATGAAAAACAAAGATATTCTTTTATTATTCAGATCAATTAGTATTAGCAAGTTTCATAATTGATGATGTCTTTGTGATGTCATAATTACAATCTTTGTTGAAAAAATGTTATAGTTCTAACTGATGTCGCTCCTGTTTTTGTGTTTTTACCTTGATATGTATCTTCCAATGGATTTATTAAATTTTGCCCTCGTTAAACTACTGTTGCCCCTAATTCGACGCAAATTGGAAAAAAAATCCTCCAGATACAGTGGCCATATGTATGAACTAACATAGTAGAAATACATCTCAACAAATTTACATCTGAAACATATACAATGTAGAAATTTGGTTGAAAAATAAATAGCACTACTATAAATTCATTTGTTTTTTTCATTTGTTAGCGCGATTTTTTAGGGTTCGACGTAGGAGAAAATATTTTAAATATAAGATATGTTTATAATTTTTCATCTACCTTTAAGGACCTGGTCACTCTATGGTTATTGAAATCGAAAAAAGCATTCGAAACATCGGCAATGAAACGGATTTGTACACAGGCATGACATCGCTTTTTCATTCGTGGTTAAATGGTTTATCTACACCTGCTAAGTTTGTATCGTTCTATTATATATTTGTTTGTTAATTAAAAGTAGACATGTTCGAGGAGAAAAAATATTTGTTTCCGATTTTCCAGGGAATACGTCTGAAACTGGTCGTTCAGTACAAAAATCTCAACTATACTCTTTCAATGCCCCTATTATTCTAATGGTATGTTTATATTTACCGAATCAATGTTTCCTTGAATTATTCGGCAAAAAAATCTGGTAGAAAAAGAGGGGCGAAAGATACTAGAGGGACAGTCAAACTCATAGATCGAAAATAAACTGACAACGCTATGGCTAAAAAATAAAAAGACAAACAGACAAATAATAGTACACAAGACACAACATAGAAAACTAAAGACTAAGCAACACGAACCCCACCAAAAACTGGGGTGATCTAAGGTGCTCCGGAAGGGCAAGCAGATCCTGCTCCACATGTGGCACCCGTCGTGTTGCTCATGTTATTACAAATCCGGTTAATAGTCTAATTCGGTAGGTCACATTCGTGGTGAAAAATGAAGTGGATTGTAATTACGACATAAGGAACATATCCGATATCATCTGTGAAACGGTTATTCCATAACGGTCAACCAACTCGTGATGGCGTCCTTAAAATGTACGAAGAGATGATTTCAACTTCACCATTTGTAACTCTTGGTTTAATAGCTTCCTTGTGAGCAGCAACCCTCTATCAAGGAAATCATGATAGGAAATACAAGCCCGGGAATATCGTATCAATTGGGAGATATATACTCCGTATGCAGGCGATTCTGGAATGTTGCTACATAGAAATGGAAAGTTCACAGTTGGGAAGCTGAAATCATCTCTTTTGTCGTAAAGTTTTTGTTTTCAACCGACCCTCGTTGTCAATTTCTAGATGTAAGTCAAGATATGAGGCAGACTTAACTGTATCTGTTGTATCCTTTATCTCTAGTTCCATGGGATAGATGCGTTCAACATAGTCACAAAATTTTGAATTATTAAGTGAGAGAACATCATCTATATAGCGGAAAGTAAAGTTAAAGGATATTGCTAACTTCTTATCTTTCTTCCTAAGAAGTTCCTGTATGAAGTCAGCCTCATAATAATAAAGGGGCACAATTGGTTTCCATTGGAATGCCGACAGTCTGTTGAAAAACACGTCCTCCAAACGTAACAAATATGTTGTCAATCAAGAAATCAAGCATCTTGATAATGTCAGTTTCAGAGAATTTTTTGTTTGAATCAGAGTGATTCTTTACAAAGCAGGATTTATCCCTCCCCAAGACAAGATACTTGTATCTACGTTCTCCTTTTTAGAAAGTTAGCCATTTGATCTTCAGCTCTATATAGGGTCTTATATGTAAACAGTACCCATTGTATAGGGAACGACAGATATATTGTATAGTAACTGGATGAGTTTGATGTAACCAAAAGTTATCACATTAAAAAATAAAAGAACAAAAATACAGAACTCCGAGGAAAATTCTAAACGGTAAGTCCCTAAGCAAATGGCAAAATCAAAAGCTCAAACACATCAAACGAATGGATAACAAATTTACACGAAACAAAGTAAAATTTATCACAATAAATATACACGAAACAAAGATCAGACATTATAAAATTTACATCAAATCGAAGTACGTCTGACACAGAATCTTTTTTTCAGCACTAAACCAAAAGAACTGAACAAGACAACCACTGCTTCAAGACGAAATTTGAAGTCTTAAATGGGCATTAGCTGTCAAATTCATGTTCACCGACTTGACTCAAATTCTCATATCTGATTTATAACATACTTAACGTATATCAAAATGACAAAAAAATCTAAAATAAACAATTAACTATGAATGGACTCGATAATATGCATTTCGTGTGTATTCAAGTCGAGACGCCATCCAATTAAGCATCGAGATGACCTCTGAAGACGGTCACATAACCCGATTTCAACATAAATATAAATAGATAGCAAGCACGTGCAATAGATAGCAAGCACGTTCCTTCTGAAAGCTGAACACGCCTAGAACATGCGAAACCCTCTCTAGCTAAGAGTTAAATATTGAAGGTCACATCAATACGGATTGAATGAGGTTAAATTATTGACTTGCGAGTCAATAATACATCAGCGATGTTTTTGAGCTTATTTTGACAAATTTGGGCCAAACTGACAGCTTATAACGCAATATTATTTCAAAATTCTGCTTTTAGTAATACTTGAAACGAAAGGAATTGTATTTTAAATTTTTGTCTAAATCATAGCTAATGTCCTTAAATTAAAAAAACATTTACATAATTTTTAGCCGTAAGATATAGTCGAAATCATAATCGTGCAAAAAAAAGGAAACAAATTGACTGCAATGCGGTTGATACCTCCGGAGACTTACATTTCACTATCAAGGTACTGACCTATTGAGAGTAATATAGATTTAGATGTTAGTGCATAGAACGCATTCCAAAATAGGCCGTTTAAAGCTGTAAAAGATAACATTTGCCTGCGTGGTATTCTAGTTGGACTATGTTTTATGGTTGCTGTTTTTCATTGAAGATTGACTCAATATACATTGCATATAGTAAGGATAGATGATATAAGCCATCCATCCTGTTAACATTATTTGTATTTTATTAATGTACCGTTAAAATAGTTGAGGCCTAGAACATCGGGACATACCACGTTAACAGAATATAACATTGTTTAAAAAGAATAAAGGTGGACTAAATTTTAATTTCAATTAAAGTTCTTTCGGGTTTCAATCGTACTCAGCACTTATAAATGAACTGAAAAATATGTTAGACAGTAGAATTGAAAATAGAATTGAAAAATACGTTAAACAGTAGAGCTGTAAAAGACATCGTTTAAACCAGGTTCAATCCACCATTTTCTACATATGAAAATGCCTGTACCAAGTCAGGAATATGACAGTTGTTATCCATTCGTTTGATGTGTTTGAGCTTTTGATTTTGCCATTTGATTAGGGACTTTCCTTTTTGAATTTTCCTCGGAGTTCAATATTTTTGTGATTTTACTTTTTAGATTTAGATTTTTTAGTAATTCATATTTTCTATATTTCATATATTTTTCAGTGATTTTGCAGATGAGATCCTTATGTCTATTGATGTTTACAGAGATACCTTCCTCACCACAGGTACTTTATTTACTTCGTTTCAAACGTTTTGGTGTCCTTTCCTTTTAAATTTAAAAAAAATGCATTTTTTGGACTTTGTCATATGTAAAAATGTCATTTATTACATTGTACAATGTTCAAAATGATGTTCAAAATATATTTGAACATTATTTTAGACGTACGAATTCTTTATGACTGACCATTAACTTTCCCAAAATTACTTATTCTGTTAATTCAGCTTTTCTTGTGATCGCATCGTATGATAACTGAAAGAGTAGGAATTACTAACTTAATAATATTAAAAAAAATTGAGAATGGAAACGGGGAATGTGTCAAAGAGACAACAACCCGACTAAAGAGCAGAAAACAGCCGAAGGCTACCAATGGGTCTTCAACTCAGCGAGAAAATCCCGCACCCGGGTGTACTAGTTCAATGAAAATGGACGTCACACTAAACTCCAAAACAAATAAATGAACTAAAATTAAAAAACATACAAGACTAACAAAGGCCAGAGGCTCCTGACTTGGGACAGGCGCAAAAATGCGGCGGGGTTAAAAATGTTTTCTCAACCCTCCCCCTATACCTCTAGCCAATGTAGAATAAACAAACACACAGCAATACGCACAGTAAAACTCAGTTTAAAAGAAGTCCGATGTCAGAATAGGCAACAAAAGAAACTAAGCAAAATGACAATGATACATTAATTTGGTTTTCTATGTTGTGTCATCTGTACTATTATTTGTCTGTTTGTCTTTTTATTTTTGGCCATGGCGTTGTCAGTTTGTTTTCGATCTATGAGTTTGACTGTCCCTCTGGTATCTTTCGTCCCTCTTTTTTAACAAAGGACTACTAGCAGTTACTGACATGCCAGCTCAAGACTTCAATTAAACTGATTGAAAGATTATGTCTTCATTATATGAAAATCAAGCACAATTCTTCCCGTTAGGGGTTTAGTATCATACAATCATAAAATATATGAGAAGAATATAACCCGTATCATGCAAACAACTGGTTTTAGAATAAATGTGTTTATTTCCGATGCAAAGACCCTATGAGTGAATAAATATTGATACCAAAATATGCCATCTTTAATGACCTGACAACAGTATCGTAACTATATCCTTTCTGAATAAGTCTGTTTAAAGGTTTAGTTAGCTTTTGAGGTGAATGTTTACATTTTTGTGCTTTGTATAGAATATTACCATAAAAGATTGGATGTGAAATACCTGAACGTATAAGATGTCTGCATGTTGATTTATATTTACGAATGATGTCATTGTACCGATGATAAAATTTAGTAAATGTTTTGACTAGTTTGTGATATCGAAAGCCCTGGTGTAATAATTTATCAGTAATACAGAGATTTCGTTCGTTAAAATCAAATATGTTGTTGCATACACGAGCAAATCGAACAAGTTGAGATATATAAACACCATATTATGGTGACAAGGGAACGTCACCATCTAGAAATGGATAATTAACAATAGGAAATGAAAAATCTCTTTTATCATAAATTTTGGTATTATGCTTCCCGTTAAAGATATAGTTATCAAGATCCAGGAAAGGTCAGTGTTCATTGTTAGTATTAGCTTTATTTAAAGTCAGTTCAGCAGGATAAATCTCTTTAGTGTACATACTGAAGTCGTCATTATTGAGAGCCAATATATCATCCAAATATCTAAAAGTGTTATTAAATTTTTGTATCAGATGTTGTTTCGATGGGTCTTTGCTGATTTTAGTCATAAATTGTAACTCATAACAATACAGAAACAGGTCCGCAATAAGTGGGGCACAGCAAGTCCTTATTGGAATTCCGATAACATGACGATATACGGAATCTCCATAGCGAACAAAAATGTTATCTTGTAAAAATTCAAGGGCAGTTATCGTATCAAAGCAGGTCCAATTGACATAGTTCTTTTGTCTGTTGTTACTAAAGAATGACCTAAAAGAGTTAGAACATATATATTCGCTCTGACTTTTAAAATAAAATTGAGAATGGAAATGGGGAATGTGTCCCATTTGATTAGATGAGTGATTTTTTTCTTAATAAGATTATGATATAAAGTGGTATATAGGGTAGAAAAATCAAAACTTTGAACAGATTCGAAATCACCAATATAAGCATGCAATTTATCAAGAACTATACTTCAAACGAATTTTTGACACTCCAAAAGTAATTAATTCCACTATTTTCAAAGGCATAAGTAGAATAGACAGTTTAGTAGTCGAACAATGGCTTGACGACGAAATAAATCTATATTTGTAAGGTGGTTTGTGCAGCTTCGGAAGCCAGTACATAGTTGGAACTTTCATTGTATTTGGTTCTGCTTGTAAAGAGGTAGCTAAAAACATACTTAAACTTTTATTGAGTGGTTTGAGGGGACTCAATAAAGTTTTACACAAGACTTTTTGAGAAATCTGACTAACGACATAATAAAATATATCAGAATTTTATCAATGTTTAGAATTTAGTAGACGACTCTCATTGTATTCCACCTTATAAACGTTCAAGTCAATCTTACCTTCTAATCATTGTTGTCTCAATAAAAATGAAAGACAGCTGCGCATTTTATGTTTAAATTTAGTAACAGGTATTTCTGGAGTTTTTCAAAATGTGTAAGTGTATGTGATTTCCGGACAAAAATTCTAACCATTCAGATTGCTATTTCATTTTTGAAAATGATTAAAAGATACTGGCTATTCTAATGGTTTCTAAAATTATATCTTTCTCCCAATATTTATGTATGTTTTGGAGTGCGCATGCTTGAGATATTTCCAGGACTACATTGTAATAATATACACTTTTGGCTATAAATACATACCCTTTAAATGTGTTTTATAGAATGACGTAGATTTTATTTCAATAATGTAAAATCCTTTATCACTGAATTTACGACACCCTTATACGCCTCTTTAATTACGTGATCGAATTCATGGTGCAATATGTATAGAATATTTACAGCATTGTGATCTCTTCTTTTTAACTGCAACTTAGTTTATTTAACACCAAAATAACACAAACCATAAATGAAGAATCTTAGTTAGATTATTGTGGAAAACCTTTAGTATTTACACCTTCTAATATCTGTGATGTGTACCAAATAAAATCAGAAACACGAGGATACCATTGTAAAAATGATGTGCTCATTTGAAAACAGTTATTACAACCGAAACTTTCAAACGATAATGCTATGACAAATCAGGATTAGGCGTCAAACCACCTTTTCAATAATAACCATATATATGTATTTAAGTTTCCATACATCACATTTAAACACTTCTATAATACAAAATATATAGCCAGCGAGGGTATCTTATAACTGCAATCTGTAGAGAAATCCAAACGATTTTGCCTTACCAGTTGCATAATGAATGTAGTTCAGAATTTTGAAAATGACCTAGTAAAAATTAGATTTATCATGCAAAAAATATTCATTGTATTGATTGATTGTTGTTTGCTTTTCGCCCAGTGGAAAATTTTTCATGCATGTTCAGGACGAGGTCAAAATAAGAATCAGTACAATAGGAAGGTACTTGAATATGGTGCGACCGGGATAAAAAGCGGGAAATATTGAATGCCACTGAAAAATATTGGTACATTGGATAAGGTCAGAAATATAGCCTTGCAACAGGGTCAATATGGCACAGTCAGACCCATAAAGAGTTTTTGTTAGGGTCCACAACGTGCAGAGAGCGTGGCACTCTCTCTTTACACGAGGCATCGGATATAACGTACAAATTCTGACCGCGAGTGCATTTATTAGATCTTCTTGTGAATTGTTTATATCTTTTATGTGAAAGTATTTAATACGTTTTAAGAATAAAAGCATAAATCTAGCCCCACAAAAAAAGTATTGCACTTGTAACAGTCAAATAAATTCCTGGTGAAAATAAATCCATAAAATCGTTTCAGACGCACGACATTTATTATGTGTTATTTTCATTTTCAAATCGTTAGAAAACAGCTTTATACTGAAAGTGTTTGAATTTATTACGTTATGCTCATTCACAGGTCGTTGTAAAATCTTGAACAATTATAGTATCCTCAAATACTGTCGTGTTCTTAAAAATAGCAGCAAGAATCATAACACGATATGATTAATAAAATGATTGAATGTAGTGAAAATTTCAATAACTTCAATAAATATATCTAGTTACGATAAGTTCTTTTATATTTGCAAGCAAGTGAACTTCATGACATTTACATTGCCATTCTGCAATTTCCATTCTGTGAGAAAATGCAAAAATCCTTATTCGTTGGCGTGTCAATTATTCCAGGTGTTTTAAATAACATAGGTTTTAATATTATGTTGCTGGATGGAAGGCTCGCTGCTTTTAAATTTCACATCAAAGTTCATTCTTACAACTAGAAATTACAGAGCACAATAGTATACATTCATTAGAGACTGAATTGTTTGAGAGATCATATATATAACATTAGGAGATGGACTAGTAAAGAGACATAATTAACGCTTCTTCGTAATATGAAGGTATTTTATCCACAAACAAAAGAACAAAATTTTATCCGAAAAATAAATAAAAAAAAGTTAAAAGGGGACATCGATTGTATTTCATCGTGTAAATTTTGTATTCCTCTTACCTTCTAATCATTTTGGTTGCATAAACTATCAAACACAAATTGCCTGTACCTGCCCTATTTTTTGTTTAAATATAGTTTTACAGGTATTTCCTGGGCTTCTTCAAAATTTGATAAGTGTGTGATTTCCTGATTGACTTTCTAAACCATTCAGATGACTTTTTTAGTTTTGAACATAATTCTGAAATACTTTTAAGCTGATTTTTAAAAATAAATCTTTACTAGTTATTTAGTGGGATCTCCGTTGTAATATATTTATTTGCTTTAGTCTGCGCATGCCTGAGATTATTCTAGGACTATTGATAAATAACATACAAATATGGGAATACAAACCCTTTAAATGTGTCAAATATATTGACGGTCATTTTATTTCAAGAGGAGATAATCTTCCTTCATTGAACTGCCGACAATGTTATACAATTATTTAATCTAATGAGCTTTCAAAATGTTAATCTGCTTCAATCTGGTTCTCTTAAAAATGATCTTCATTGTATCTATCATTTGATTTGTACTGTTTTACAGATGTAACACCTCAACTAATCATACTATATATGTTATAGTATTCTCACACGTAGCAATTTATATACATATTTACTTTAAATTTTATATTCATTATTCGTAAGAATGTTCTGAAAAACAAAGTATATATAATATACTAGTATTCAGCTTTAGTTTTTCACCTTGTAAACTTCAAAACAACTTTATCAACCCCAAAAGTAAACTTGACAGTAATAATGTCCAAACTTTACTGGAAATATTGCAAAAACCTTACGCATTATAATTTTTGAATCGATGTTTTAAATAGAAGCAGACACATTCGAGAAAAACATGATATGATGTCCTCTAATTAGGATTACTTATATTTTAGGAAAATGCTATGCTAAAAATCAGGATTCACGGCATCAAAGTAACTATTAACTTCTTATATTGAAGTTCCGTATACGTTAATGTAGAATGTGGTTCTGTACAATATAGATGATCGAGTTTAGACGTGAATAAGAGAAGATGGTGGTAAACATGAATGACACAGCAACCAAACGACACAAAAAACTTCTGAAGTAAATATGTCATTACAATAGTTTTTAAAATATCCTTGTTTATTTTTTAAAATTTATATGACAAAATTCATCAGATACCATGCAAAATGTGAAAGAATGTCATATTTATTAAAATGAAAGTAAATTTAGTTCTATACACAATTTTATGTACTAAGTTGTATTTGGCAAAACCTTACGGAATTGTGGGTCCTCAACACTCTTTGCATTTTAACTGTTTTGATTCTAGCGTCACTGGTGAGTCTTTGTAGACGAAACGCATGTCTGGCGTAAAAAATTATGAGCCTTGTATCTTTGATGAGTTTTTTCTACAGCAGTCAATACTTTGAAAATGGACCTCATACCAAAAATGAAAGACTTGGCTAGGTAATGCTCATTTTCAGGTATTTGTGAAATCATGAACATTAATGGTGTCATTTATTTTGTATTGTACACGATAACACTTTATCAGTAAGAATCAAATCACTAAAGAGTTATGTTCCCTTTATAGTAGAAATTCTGTAACCGGTATTAACCAATGTCATTCAAAATAAGCAAATCATTGAAACATGAAAGAAAAAACTATATAGACAAGGTTGCTTTGACCATTTTTGTAATTGAGAGAAACTATTGGACTGTACCAAAACCACTGTGTTTCAAGGAAAGTAAAACTTTACCAACACTAATTAAGCTTATCTTGGTCTACATTTGTCGTTACATAAGCGGTTTTCTTACACTTCTAGTCCCTACACTTCAAGACAGATATCATATCTAGCCTCTACATTCTCACAAAAATCTAATGTTAGACATTGTCACATGGCTAACCATTAGACATGCACATTGCAAATAAGAGAAAACAGAAATTTAAGGTATTAAGAAAAACGAATAAGGAAAAAGAAAAGGTCTATTCATTATTGGATATCCTGTTTTTATGAAAAAAGTAGACGTATGGAACGTGTATGTTAATGAGAAAACAACCCAACAACGGAAACAAAGAACACACAAAAGATATCAACATGTCAATATAAGGTCCTATGTTTACAATCAAGTAACCGGAGAGCATGATTAGAAAATTTCAATGTCTTCTCCGGGACTCGACCCCGGGACCTCTGTGTTACAGGTCAGCGCTCTAACCGACTGAGCTTAAGAAGAACTTTCCTAGCTTAACCGCTAACGGCAGTCTAAATATCTATTAAGCAAGGGAAGCAATTTCGTCACAATTCCCCTAACCTAAGAGTCTTCATATGATTATAATTATCACAACATATACCCTGGCTGGAAATCCTCCTTAACTACAGTAGGTAATTGAGTTAGGCGCCAAATGTAACCGGAGATCATTACAGCTGGATAAGTATCTGATATGCAAGGGGGAAAATCCCGCCTAATACGAATATATATTCAGATCGCCTGAAATATACATGAGTAGTATGAACAGTTATCAGACTTTTTTTGTTTTTGCAGGTAAAATATGCCTTGTCATATTGTTGGAATTATCATGAGGATGTTCAGAGAAAACGCACACAATTTGTGAGAGCTGAAGTTAGAATTGTAAGTAAATAAGCATATGTGACAACTAAATATTTTTAAGTTACATTATCAGCAACAAGCAATGCTAACGAGAAAGTGCTGACGAATTTAGGTAACAGTAGTTTACCGATGTTCGAATCTCAGAAATCGATTCAGAAGACAAATCAAGTTTATAAAGTAGCTGAATGTAGAAGGACAATATATTTGCATAAAAAAATGAGCATGCCATTAATTATATCCTTCTATAATTTCCAATATTCTAGAAAATGCAAACAAACCCTTTCGTAATAATAACATGCGCTACTTATTTAAGGTTCTACCAACACTGTAGAAATTTGATTTACTTGAAGCTGAGACTTATTTTCTCCTGTCCACTACGCCAACTGACAAGATGAAGAACATTACTAAAGTGCTGACGTTTGGTTAATTGTAATTTCGTAGCATTTCAGGAAATTACAGTCCAATGGATATCCACTCTTAAAATATTTATGTTTGTCTCTTCTGTGATGATAGTTACGAAGGCAAGACAGACCAATCCTACATTCCGTCGTTCTCGTCGTCTTATGTCGTCTTATCGATGTCGTTCAGTCTGTGGTTAATGGTTTGATCAGACACCAATAACTACGTTAAACCTTCATCGAATTTTACGACACTGGGACGGAATCTTCCCCATGACAGTATCCAGAGCTAAATTTGAAATATTTTGCTTCACTTTTCCACATTTTATTGATAAATTGTTCTGTTTTGCAGTAAACATGTAATTATAGTCTTGGGTGAAAGCTTTCAAAACATCAGTAACTTTTTCAAACCTACATGCAATGTTTACGAAATTTTGATAGAAACTTTATCTTCCACAGCTAAGGTAAGAAACTGTTTCGTTTTGTTTTTATTCTTGCGTATTCAACTTATAGATTGACAATATTTTTCCAGTTTACATTAATATACAGCTGGGGTTAAAGTTTTTGGACATCAATTACTTCATCAAACTTTCATTGAATTTTACACAAACTTCGTCATTGCCAAGAGACTGAGATTTAAAGCCAAATTTTCTTTTTTTTCTTTTTCTTTTTCCGTATTTTAGCATATAAATTTTGGTTAAAGTGTTTCAAACTTTAATAGAATTTCCAAACCTTCATGGAATTTTACGAAACATGGACAGAATCTTCGTCATGGTCAGACAGAAGATACCATTTGAAGCCAAATGTTGGTAATATTTTTTTTACCGAGAAATAGACTTATTCTTTTCTTCATGTTTCTATTTTTCCAATTTGTTTTACTGTTTTATTGTATGTATGACTTTTGATTGTTCCTTTGGTTTCCTTTTTTAATGATGATGGACGTATTTTTGTGCAGCCAACATACCATTCTACACAGGCAGCAGTAATCTCAGACGAGACAGGGATCCGTGGAACACTTAACGAATTTTTATCTGTCTTTTAATAGTTTTGATAACCAAATATCAATTATTCATTAGTTATTTCATAGAATATGTACTTTTCTGCTAAAGATTCATCTTCCCGCACTTTCATTCAAATAAAAAAAGCATGCCATTTTAGTGTGGACAATTTAAAAAGTATCTATAAATTTCTATCATACAGTTATGATAAGTTAAAGGCGCTTAATAATGTATGAAAACGAAAGTTTTATTAATTGCATGTTATTAAGAAATATAGAATGCAAGTGCGGGAAGATGAATCTTTAGCAGAAAAGTACATATTCTATGAAATAACTAATGAATAATTGGTATTTGGTGCTATTAGACAGAACATTTCGAAATTTTGTTTGTTTGGGGTTTTTTTTGGGTTTTTATATAGTGTTCATATAAGAGTTCTTACATTTATATATTTGTTAGCAAAATACAAGCGCTAACTATTTTTTTTGTTTAAGGTTTTCGTTTTTATTTTTTTAAATTTTTTTCGCATCATTAGAAATGAAAAAAATATGTTGTTCATGGCTGCTCTGTTTTTTTTTTCTCACTGAGATTCAAGGTTATTTATTAATTATATTGCGATTAACTAATTTTGTTCAAATCAAAATCAAAATTAAATCAAAATATTTTATTATTCCAATCAGGGTCCCACAGGGGGCATTTACAATTAACAATTATGATAATATAAGCAACAAACATGAGACATTGTACAGTATATAACGTGACAGATATTATAATAGACAAATGAAAATAGCATCAATAACAAAAATACATTAAAAGTACTCTTGAGTACTTTTTTTATTATTTTTTTTATTATTATTATTATTTCTATGTCCAGCAGTGCACCTCGTGTTCACATCAGCACAATTATCGTTTAAGATTTATAAAATTAGGATATATAGTTTGTTCATCTGCTGGAGACACCAAGGGACTATGCTTATGGATATACTGTTGTAAACAAGAGCTGCAACAGCAATCTTCCTCGTGTCAAAAGCAGATGAACAGTAAAAAAATAACAATAAAGTTTGAACATACTTAAATTGTTATCTATAAAGATGGAAATTTGTTCATCTGCAGGAGACACCAAGGGACGGTGCTCTAGATATACTGTTGATTGCGATAGGCAATAACAGCAATCCTCCCCGTGTCAGAAGAAGATGAACAAAATAAATAGAGAAACTGAATCCGGTCAATTAACAAATACATTTTTTTTTAAATAACAACAATTGCTAATTATGTGAAACATGTTATATAAATCTGCTATTTGCAGTGTTTAACCAGGAATATACACAACTCTTTAAATACAGTCGAGTTCTCACAAGACAGCAGCCATAGCAATTTCTCTTGGGAATTTAAGTTAATGAAATTGGGACATGATTCCGAAATAATGTGATATAAATGGTGTCTGTCTTCGTTATATTTTGTGCAATAAAAGAGAAAATGAACTTCATCTTCAATATTACCAGAGTTACACTACTGACATAGTTTCAGTTGTGGAGTACCCTAGTATCGTCCTATTTCAATCTGCAAATGGTGAGATGATATTTAGATACTATTCGTAACCATAATTATTCTTAAATTTGATATAAGTGCGGAGCTTCCCTTCTGAATTCTTGGTCAGTTGATCCTTCCAAATTTTTATACACGTCTCTTTCAATATTTTCCTGATTGAATTTTTTTGAAATATTTTTCCAATCATTTAGGTTTGCAAACCAAGGAAGATAATTGTTGGAGAGAGCCATACCATGACGATTTATGCTGAGAAAATAAAGTTTTTGAATGCTGGTATGCATCTTGTAATAAAGGAAATGAGTCTAAATTTTCCAGTCTAAGCCAATAATTAAAAATAGATTTGACTAAGTCAAAGTACAGTGGAAACCGACCAAGTTCAGATAAGGCTGCGAAAATTTGTGTTTTTTTTGTGCACACCCAGAATAAATTTACAAAATTTACTGTACTGATCATATTCCATTAAGATATATTCGAAATATTGTATTTAAATATTTTATCATACAATTACAACTGAAAAAGCACACCTGAAAATTTGCATAAGATAGTAGTGCAAAAGGTACGTTGAAGCTCTAAAAATACGCAGGCTTTAAAATTCTAACTAGTGCGGGTATAATAAAACAAATATTTGAGCCTACCTCTTGATCTTAAAACTGCTTATATGGTTTTCTTCTCTGTTTTTAACTAAGATCCTCATGGTGGTTGTGACGTTGGCCAAACCCAAAGTCCACGGTCCTCAAATTATATGTCTTTTAACTATTTTTATTTGAATTAGTTGCAATTGTTAAATCCAGATAGCCATGCGTTTTCAATATAAGGGAAAAAAGGCAGTACTCCCAAATTTGAGCAAGTGTTAAGAAAAATTTGCAACTTTTTAAAATCAATCGATCAGGTTTTTAATGATATTAAACTAATTCAAGTAAAACTCTAATTTTTAAAAATAAATATTATCTAGTAGATATTTAAATTTCCTATCCGAGTATTACGTCTTCCTAGGAAATAATCAAGGAAGTTAAATATAACTGGTTCTATTAAAAGTAACGGGAATACTTCCTATTTAAATACCTGGAAGTTATTATCTATACCCGAATCGAGCTTATAGGACACTGGGACTAAGCTAGTATCCATACATTAGCTGACTGCCAATTACTTACCATTATTTATACTAAGAATTCAGTCTTTTTTTCGGGGGGAAAACGCTTTTTAATTGCTGTGTTTTGTTTACAGTAACCGAAAAGAGTTTAAAAGATGAATAAAATGCTCATATTTTTACTGCTAGGCCGTTTTGATGTTAAGTTCGTAAGCCATTATATTCTACAGTTAAAATTTAGTAAAGTCAACCTTTCTACTTTTTAATCAAAGACATTGTCTGAATTTATTACTTATGAGAAGAAGGTAGCTTAACGTCTATGAGACGCCATCTTTAAAGGACTTGATTCATGAAGTAATGATATATATCCATTACATTGCAATTCAAAGATCGACGAGCTTGTTGTATTTCATTGAAATTAACGGAACCAGTATCGAATATACATCGATGCCTATCCTCGTCACTTTGTTATATCGAAAATTTCTAAATTTATTTAATCAAAATATTATATTAACTGGTATGTTGAAGTCGTTTCCTTTCTTAAGATAGTAAATACATTTGAAATTAAACATACTCACTACAGTTATAAGAACCTGCTCTGCGATGTATTTTTATAGGCTGTCCCTCCTGTTCATCAACGGAAAGTTTCTATACTAAGATCTACATGATTAGAGGCAGATATATTTGTCTCTCTCGTATTCTTGATTTTGAAATAAATTATGATGTGGAATTAATATTTTGGAAGAATCTTAGGTAATAATATTATTATTACTCACGCCTATTTCGTAAATGAAATGTTGTCTTTTAATACCGGTTTCAACTTTCATCAGATACGCCGAAGACACAAAATGTGAATGGCGAAGTAAATAAAACTTCGAAGAGCATCAAAAACGAAAATTGCAAAAACAGGAAGGTCACTATTTTGCAAGGTGAACTTTGCCTAAGAAAATTGTGCCATGAATTTTAAAACACCTTCACAATTTACAGTAAGAATGAAAAACATAAATCAGAACCACTGGCTACTATGTAAACTGTAATTTTACAGACCGAGAGTCCAACAACAGCGTCACCTATACAGTTTATATAATACCGATGTCAAAATGGGAATTATTTATACAATTCAGGATTGGGGGTTAAAGTCCTTATGTGTTTCAAAATGTAACGGTTCCTGTTTTGTATTTTAAACTGCTAGTGTGATACAAAAATTACAAGATGTTGAATTTAATTTGATGCACGATATGTGCATTACGAAAAACAATATTTTCGTCAGTGGTGCTCGAAATCGATAACCTCATTTATTTGGTGATTTAGATTGACAATAGTTTTGTAACACAAAAATTGCTTTAGTTACAAATATTTATAAATATATATATGACTTTGTATAAAGCTAATTTCCACAAAACAACAAACAAACTAATCTTTGCAAATCATTCAACGGATCGATTATCGATAAAACCTTATATAAAGTGTGGAGTCGGGTTATAGTCTTGATCCTTACCCGGAAGCGAAACAAAGGTTTCCAACAAAGGCGATAATTTAATTACTTTCTTTTTTGTGTACTCGTTACTGTTTATACGAAGCAATTTACATTTTCCAGTTGGATCTGTGTATCTAGATTACTTATAAATATACACATGTATATGACTTTTTAAAATACGCACATGGTGCATCAAACATTTTGTGTTTCTTTTAAGACTACTCCTGCTGATGGATGGATTATTGCTCTCTCTCTCTCTCTCTCTCTCTCTCTCTCTCTCTCTCTCTCTCTCCACATATAGAGACACAAATACATAAGAAAATATAAACAGATTGGAACAAATACAATGAAGAGCTGCACGGTACGCTTACAAAAGATATCACAATACTAGCAATGTATCTGATATTTTACATGACTTAAATTGGCCAACTTTTCAAAATTTCAAAAACAAGACTACAAATGTTTCATTAAATTTTATACCAGGACATTGTCATACTATCGCAAGACACACTAACTAAAAGCCAGTTGAAAACAAGATTAACTTATCAACAAATCTACATACAACTTCAATGTAACAAAGACTGTTTCAAATTCTCATTCTTTTTCCAAAGATTAGAATAAAATCCCACCAGAAATTTCCAACAAAACTTCTATTGAAAGTTTAAGGATGCACTCCCTTATGAAATGCTCATTGAAACGTTTTGCACCTTACCTAAAAATGCTTATCATAAAAACAAATATGAATAAAACAATTTTTGCTAAAACTAAAATTGCTTAAAATTTGTAAAATATAAAACGATGTTTTTTAAATATTGAAGTATGCATTTTAAGATACCTCATACAGACATGAGCCGGAAAGAAATCTTTTAAAAATTGTCGAGTACTCGTAACAAAAGAAGATTATGAGAACCCGGTAGTAATGCAAGCACGGTATCAATTGACATATAATGACATATTAGCTCTGATTCCTTTTCCGGGTTTCGCTATACGTTTTGTTCTTTTGGGTTATACCTGCTCTTCAAAATTTGTGTTAGGCTATGGATTTTAATGCATTTGGCCTTGCGCTTCAATAAAGAAAAATAAATTGTCGAAGTTGGTATCGGATGTAGTAAAATAGATGAAAATCAAGACAATATAAGTTTGCAAAAACTTGTTAAATTCTCGTTTTAATGCACAGCACTGCCTTGTTGATATTGTAATCATTTTGTGTGTCCTTACATAGGATTTATTGGTCTTCAACATTTAAAATTCTTGTAACGATCATTCTGAGAAATACACTTTCGAAACATGTGTATAGTGAAACCAATTAATTTTAGTAACTTGTAACTCTGTAGTATCCAATGAACGGTCATATTCATACAGCGTATCAACTGAAAATCATAAACACCATTGACTGGTATTTTTTTACTCATTAATGGAGATCGAAGTAAAATTTGAAATATCCAATTTGTCATTAATCACCAGCTATCCTGCTCAGAACACATGTTTCGGAAGTGTAAACACAAATAATTACACCATTACAAACACAATTCCATTTTAATATTCTTGTCATGGTTAGAAAATACATAAAATAACACCATTACAAACTCAATCCCAATTTTGTATTCTATTTTTTAGAAATTTACCTGCGATAAAATAAACGTCACAGAATTACGTCACTTTTTGTGGCGTTGATACATTCGTGTGACGCACAGTTTATAATTCTATAGTGGTATCCTGGTGTACTGTCGTAAATTCATGGGAGGTGTCCGTTGTTATTCTGTGGTTTACATGTTGTAATGTACTATTATATTATGTATTTATGTATTTCTCTGTCCTGACTGTTCTTGCGTTTATTTGTACTGTATTCCTGTCACTTAATGTTGTCATTTTAGCGGTCATATAAGAGGAAGTTTGGCTAGCCATAAAATCAGGTTCAACCCACCATTTTTTTCATAAAATGTCCTGTACCAAGTCAGGAATATGGCAGTTGTTATCAAATAGTCTGTTTCTATGTATGTTGGCATTTGTTTTTGTAGCAGTTCAGTGTTTCTGTTGTTCCGTTGTTTTCCCCTTATAGTTGATGTGTTTCCCTCGGTTTTGGTTTGTGACCCGGATTTGTTTTCGCTTAATCGATTTATGACTATTGAACGGCGGTATACTACTGTTGCCTTTATTGTTCATAAGGGTAGAATTAAAGAAAAGATATAGTATAAAAAAAACGGCTATTGAGTGAAAGCACATCATGTCCATGTAATAAAACTCATCAATATACCTTTTCATGAAGTAAAAACTCATGAACAATATCAGGTTCGTCCACAAAATCACACTAATGCCGCTCGGACCAAAAGAGAACTGAAAACAAAAAATTCAAAAACATTTTGTTATTAGTTAAAGAGAGGCGCCAGATATCAAAGTGATATTTAAATTTATAAGTCGAAAACAAACTGACAATGCCATAGCAAAAAACGAAAAAAGACAAAAAGACAAACAACAATACACAAAACACAGCATAGAAAACTAAAAACTGAGATCAAAAGAATAGTAACCCTGTTGTTATATCAAACAACCAAACTCACTATATTGTGTACAAAAGAGCATAGCATTTTGATGATTTCAATTTCTGTGTATTTTTATAAAAATGAGTATGGTTCTTACCAATGTAACATTAGTTTAATATGGTTATATAATATAAAGATGCATCTTCAATTAAACGAAATATTTACGGAAAAAAATACACATATTATTCTATTCCGAGAAACAAAATGCATTTAATGACACATATGTACCAAAACCAACTGTTCGTAAAGGATTTTATCATAATATTACATGTAAAAGCCCATGACGTTAAGCGCGGTGAATAGCACTTGTTAATGTTTTCTTTGGACTGTACGTGACGTTTGGCACGGTGGAAATCAATTCTACACTTTTCCCCAGATTGAACATACCGTTTTGCGCGGTAAATATCAATTTTTAATATTTATTTGCGCTGAATACGCTGTTTTATTCAAACCCAATTCATATAATAAAATCTACTGAAATAATACTAAAATGTAATAAAAAGTCAACGAGAAATAAAACAATCCGCTAATTTACCAAAAATAATTGAATAAAAATGTATTAACAAAAAATACCGAACTCTAAGGTAAATTAAAAAAAAGGAAAATACCATAACACCTGACAAGTCAACAGGTATATTATTTTCTATAATAAAGAAGATGTAGCATGATTGCCATTGATAAAGGTTTAACTACACAAAAAAAAACGTAAAATATCGTTTCATCTCAGCCTCTAGTAAGTGTTCTACTACTAATTTTTCAGTACTTTCAACGAGTTCCTTAACTAATTTCAAAGAACTTATCATTAATTTTTGAAATAAAACATATGAAAATAGTGGAACTAACCATTTTTGGAGTGTAAAATAATCTTTTGATGTTTCAGATGAATTACATGCTTTTGATGGTTCTTTTGATTCGGTTGACAGTTTTCACTTTTCCACTCTTTCTACTACACTTCCACACAATCTTATCAAACAAAAGGTTTCCTATTTAATCAAATGTTCGTTTGATAAATCTGATTGTGAATTCATTTTCTTCAACTCGAATAAATTTTTTTCTCCATTGAGAAAGGTAAATATGCTAGATATACTTACTGGGTGTGTGATGAGATTTTTAAAGCCGTAAATTTTCTCCTTGACGACATCTATGTTCGTTTCGGCAATAAAGTGTATCGACAAGTTGTAAATTTCCCTTGGGCACCAGTTGTGTCCCTTTAATAGCAGAAGTGTTCCTGTACTGAATGAATCACAGTTTATGGCCAAACTCAGTAAAGATCCGTCTAAATTCCATTTAATTGATAAATTCAACAACACTTTCGTTAAATAATCAAGAATCATAAATATACTGCAAACATTTACCCAATGGAACTTACTTTAAATAAATCAAATATTAACAGCAATAACTGTCCTTTCCTAGAATTAGATATTTCAGGTTTACACCAGTACTCTACACAAAAATGTACGACAAAAGAGATGATTTTTCTTTTCCTATTGTTAATTTATCTTTTTTTGACGGTGATGTTCCTTTGGCACTGTCTTACGGTGTTTATATATCCCAACTCGTTCGCTATGTCCGTGTTTGTAGTGACGTTTTGGATTTCAATGAGCGTAATATCACTATTACAGGTAAATTAATAAGTCAGGGATTTCGTTACCACCAATTACTTAAAACCTATACTATATTCTTTGGGTTTGCAAGTTTGGCTGTACCTGTAGAAAACTGATTTTAAACGGAATAGCTCATCCTAAATTTTACGGTGATGTTGTTTACCAAGACCGGAAATGTAGATACGATCCGGGTAAACTTATCAATCCTTTAAATAAACTTATTCTAAAAGTTTTCCAAACCAACTCTGTAATTAAATCTTTGAATATTGTTTTATTCAATGGTATAAATGTTGATTTTGTTATCAGTAAATTAAAACCATACTAAACATTATTGTTATACACATGTGCACTTTCACGGTACCACAATCTGTTGATACCTATATTTTGGCATTGCACAAGGTCATGTTTTTCTCTGATTGTTAATGACGTCTTTACACTAAATCCATTGGATGTTGCATATATATTCATTGTTGAAGGCCGTGCGGTTGCCTATTATTGCTTACATCCAATTCATTTGACCTTTGATGGACAGTTGTCTCATTGGCAATCATACCACTCCTCCTTATTTTTATAAAGTACAAATATGGGAACAATAACAGGTCAGCCTACTGAATAGTAAACGTTAAGAGGCTTACGGCATGGCACAATGTGAGATACAATTCAATGGAAAAAACAACGGCCTGGCTTATACAGTATACTACAAACAATAAACGAAAAATCTATGGGAGACAGCGTCCCAGAACAACCACTGTAATGCATGATGCTCGTTTTTGAATGGTATGCAAATAATGGAACGGGGTTATAAATGTTTGTTAACGCTTGTCAGTCCCCTTTAACTGGAACACTGTAAACTCATTTGAAAAAAGATTGACTCATCAGATCAGTCCTGAACACAAAAACAAAAAGACAATGAACAAAGTTCCATTAAATATTAATCACAATTACTGATTTAAACAAAATAAATGTTCTAACTGTAGAAATAAAGCATTTCAAAATTCCAGATTAACAGACAGCTAAAGAGTTGGACAGGTACATATTATTAATGAAGAAAAAGAGAACAGAAAACAAAAGTGCAAGTGTTTGAGAAGATGACCGAAGTAAAATATGCAACATATACAGCGATATAAGAGGAAATTGCAGAATATTACCAGAACATCTTAAACGCGAGAATAATAGGGAAAGAAAATGAAGTCACAGCCCCTTTTCGGAAGATAATGTTTTAAAAAAAGGAAAAAAAGGGAAGAGAAAGAAAAGATTTATATTCTAATATCTTATTGTCAGCTCTTTTTATGACGCAAAAGGACACTGAAGGTGTTAATGTAAATAAAATGCCCACTTGGGTCGAGAAATTTATCATATGGTTGACCTTGTTGAATGAAGTGCAAGGTGCAATATTGTATTCCTTTAGGAAAATACATGTGTATGTATAATGAAAAGCTGCGAAAGTTTCCTTTAATTATTCAAGATTATTTAAAATCAAAATTCTAAAACGCTCTGTTTTTGGTTAGTTTAAACAGAGAAACTCAGAGAACAGCACCCTTTCCAGTTTTAAATATTTTTCTCTGGTATTACTGTGTGGATTGGATATGTTCATCATTGGACATATTTGCTTTAAAAAATAATATGTGGAATTTAATCATTATTGGTGGAAAACATTATCAGTTGACAATCTGTTTTTGAAATGTATTTAAACTATTGGATTTATCAAACTGTACTTTGATGTAAATAGTGTTCATTGGACAAACTTGTATTATAAAGAATCAACAAACTATACAGTAAATAGAGCAATATAGATTGTTATGTAATATATCTGAATGTGAGTTTGTCTTTTCTTTATTTAAAAAATAAAATTAATTGTTTGGGAACACTCTTTTCTGTGAAGCATTATCAAGTCAGTCGTAACAGAAATTGGGGGCTCGTGTAGCATTTACAAATGAAAATGAACGCTTGTTTGAAAGATGGTGCAGAAGTTAAAAAAATAGTGATACAAATAAGAGAATTTAAGACAGTTTATTATAATTGCGGAGCTTAAAAACTGCATTCATATTGATATTCAAGTCAATCTTGATGAGCATAAAATTGACAAATTTGCGGAAGTGGCATCTACAGCCGATGATTATGCTTCATAAGTTTCAAGTGAAAGGCAAACATACAAATAAACTTAATAAAGAAGCCAACCATAACGTTGTTGTAGTTGATAGTAAATTTGTCACAGACGCCAACAAAAAAGTATTTGAAGTTGATAGCACATACAGTATACAGTATACACTTTCTCGATAAGTAAAATATAAATACAAGGGTAAATACAATGAAAACAACACTAATAAAACCTCTTGCGTCAAAATCGCAGCACTGGACCTACCTGCGCCGGGAACGCCCGAAGCCAAAAACCCGATTGCTGAATGTATATATACAGAATCACATCAAGAGGCATATGACCAGAAGGAACATAATAGTACGCAGACAAATAACTGTAAAGTAAATTAAAAAGATACACAACTCAAGCATCTAGGATCTATAACTGAAGACCACCTTGTGTTATTTATGAAGTAGACTCTGAATATTTATCTATTAGGATACCCTGTAGACGAGAAATTGAAATTTGTTCATCAGGGTTTTGGACCACACAAATAAAGATTATTACTTTTGAGTTTAGGTCATGAAGCACCTTGTCGGGTTAGCACACGCCCAGTAGTCATCCCTTCTGTGCTGACATGAATTATCATTGATATGGTCATAATTATAAATTTATTGTTAACAAAGCTTTGAATTTTTCGAAATACTAACGATGTTCCACCTCGGGAAGATATCACTTTAGCTGTATTTAGCAAAACCTCTCGTAATTAGGGTTCCTCGATGCTTTTCAACTTCATACTTATTTGGTCTTTTTTAACTTTTTTTATTGGAGCGTCCCTAATGAGTCTTTTGTAGGCGACACGTGCGTCTGGCATACAAAATTTTAAGCCTGGTATCTATCATGAGATTAGTATTAACGAGTCAATAAAGTTTCTCAGTATACTTTCAGTTAGCCAAAATTAAAACATGATGTTGCTGAATACTGTAGATCTTTCACGTGTGCCAAATATTTAGAAAACCTAACCAGAAAATTACTTTTGCCGCGCGTCATACAATATCATCAATTTAAGAACAATTTAGCAGAGTATTTATAGACTATGTAAGCCCATTAACAAAGAAACAGTATGGCAATGACTTTATGCTAACTATAATGTGTGATTCAATCAGATATATTGATGATATACCTTTTGGGAATATCATAGCTACTAGTATTTGTAAAACACTGGTCACATTGTTTACTTAAGATGGACGTTCTTAGACTATGCAGTCTGATCAAGGTTCAAATTTTATGCCAGGAATTTTTCAACTAGTTATTAAGCAGATAGGTATTAAGCAATATAAGTCGAGTGCATATAATCCTGATTCTAAAGATAAAATAAAAAGGTTTCTTCTTTTGTTATATTGTATGGGCTAATCAAAACTTTTGAAAGAACAGCGGTAAGACGATACCAAGATAATAAATTTGTTAACTGATATATCTGAATTTAAAAAATCAGTTTATAAAGCCTCTGAAATTGCCAAAGAAAACTTAAGTAAAACTCAAGGTGAAATGAAAGTTTGGTATGATAAGTCTGCTAGAGAAAGAAGATTTCAACCAGGAGAAAAGGTAATGTTATTTTTACCGATACCTGGTAATGCACTGCAAGCTATGTACTGTGGGTCACACACCTTTGACAGTGATGTGAATTCTGTTTTAAATACTTATTTGGCAATGCAAAGAAAAAGGGTGTATCATACCAAAAGGATCATTCCCTATTATGAGAAAGAAAATAAATGTCAAATTAAACCAGTTTGTAAATTGTAAAGCTGTTGATTTGTTTTCTGACACACACAATAAAAAAAATCTAATGTGTATTAAGATGTTAAATGAAGGTAATGCTGAACCTGGGAATCAATGAAAAAAGAAATTGATTATATGATTGAGCAAAAAGTAAAATAACAAAAAATAACGAACTCCAAGGAAAATTTAAAACGGAAAGTGGTAGTGAATGGGGCTCCCTTTGTCTATTACTCATACAGATTAGTTACACATTTGAGGAAAATGAACACTTTTACAAAACCAGATTTTTATCCCATATCTAGTATTGATGATGGCATTGAAAAAATAGGGAAGGCTACATTTGTATATACACTTGTCTTTTTGATAGGTAATTAGTAAATTCGTATAAAAGAGTTATGACAGATTGGGCAAAAATGTGTGTCTGTTTTTATTACGCTAATGGTTTTTACCAATATAAAATAATGTGTATGGGAAGGAAAAATTCTGCTTTTACATTCCAAAGATCCTAGTTATTTGTCAGGTTCGTGTTGCTCAGTCTTTAGTTCCTATGTAATAGTTTGCGGACTTGTTTGTCATTTCATCGTCTTTCGTTTTAAGTTAAGGCGTTGTCAATTTCTCTTCCAGTTTTGAATGTTCTCTTGGTATCTTCAGCCTCTTCTTTTATTAAATTCTCAAAGATTTAAATGGTTGTTCAGGCTACCTTGATGATATCATTATTTACAATAATACTTGATACTTAGGGAACAACATATATCAAATACTTACTCATTCAGGCCATGGCATTTCTGAATTTCAAATGTCCATCATGCAAAAAGTAGAAGTAATTGCTGATTTCAAGTTTCCCTGTAAGAAGAAGAAACTAATGAGTTGAAAGGAATGTCCGGATAGTTCATTTTTTTCTAACGATTCGATCAATGAGAAAGTGCATTTAAGAAAGTTAAAGCTATTTTAATGTCTTCACCTGTTCTAGTTGCACCAGACTTTAACCGACAGTTAAAACTTGCAATCGATGCAAGGGATGCTGCCATTGGTTCAGTACTCTTACAACATACTGAGGATATGTTTAGTTTTACAAACATTTGACTTAGAAATAATACACATTCTAAGTCAGGTTTCATTGCTGATGCTCTTTCAAGGTTATTTCAACTGAATATTGTAGTATTAAAACGTTTCTTTGTAATCAATCTTTTTCTTTTAAGGAGGATTGTGATATATACTAGTACATGTTTATGTATGATTATATATATTGTATTTTTATTAATCATTTGATCGATATTAGTTTTAAATTGGTCACGCTCCACCGATTGCCTACATGTCAGATGTCAAGTAGTGTTGACAAAAAATATTATGATAGAACAATGCAAAGATGCAGCAGTTTCTGAGAGTTTTTAATTCACGTCATATCAAAACTTAGAACTGTTTTATAACTACTGGAGTTATCAAACTGTACTTTGAGATTTACATTTTTCATTGGACAAACTTGGATTATAAACTCGAAAATGTATTTTTGACTACCTTAAATCAACTAAATATATAGTATTTAAAGAAATTTATATTTGTATGTAACATATCTGACTGTAAGTTTATCTTTATATATTTGTTAAAAAAATCGTTTTTGTTGGATTCTCTTTTCTGTTACTCCTTATCAATTGAGTCGTAACACTTTAGTATGTAATTAAGGAGATGTTAAAAGGTATACTGGCGTTTAATGGGACAGCAACTCAACGACACAAATACCAAAAGACATTTAAAGATCAACATACAATATGTAAAGCTCTATATCGCCCCAAGTCTAAAAAAAAAAAGGCTTTACATAGTACACACGGCAACTGTGCACAATCACATAAGATGAATAGCAGATAAAGGGGTCATAATAGTACTAACCATAACAAATATCTATGTAAGCTGCGATATTATGTATTTCTTTCCGTGAGGCTCTCTGTCGATAGAAATGTTTCTTTATAATTGTAAATGATACGATAAGATCATGAAAATTTGACTATTATAAAGGGAAATGTAATAAAATGATTATTAACAAAAAACCGAATACTGCAACGAAAACCGGGACCTTATGAGACGTAAACAATAACATACAAACGTTTTAATGAAGGTGCTTCCTTGTGGTATAAATCATTAGAAAAACGTGATATTTTATCCTTTTACTTGTGATATGAAACAAGTGATTCTCTTTTGTTTATAAAGATTAAAAGGGAAATAAAGTATTGCAAATGGAAACATTGAAAGCGAAACGCCTTATAATTATCATTTGAGAAAAATTTCATAAATCTGTCCTTATTATTATTAACTGACCTTCAGAACATCTAAAAGTGCGCATAAAGACATATGCAGATATGATCAACTTTAAATATCTTTCAGTTATTAAGTTTAATTCCTTTCGATGCAACACTGTCTTTTAAAGGACTTAACATAAACATCATCTTGCAATCTGTGGTTTGTGTCTTTAGAAAAGATGGCAAAAGAAATGTACTAAAATAGATAAAACTTGTGCTGTTATGTGAATGTTCACGTTTGGTTAAATGAAAAAGAAAGTATATGGTGTATTTATTCATGTCACAAAATTCATAGACACATTTGACAAAATCAAAAGCAAGAAACGGTTAAATTGCTGTTATTCATCAAAAAGTTACAGTGATGCCTTTAATATACAGTTCACACCTGACTGTCATGACTGTCCGATGAACCATTTTTATCGGAATTCGCTGTTATTTTGATCACGCATTATATATACATTGAAATACACAGATTCGATGTAATTTCCACAAAAAACCGACTTTGTTCAGCAAAATTATCTAACAAATACGATTCTTATTTGCGGATAAACTCATTGATAAATACAGAAACAAAACAATTATTAAGAAAAGCACAGGTTCTACGTCAAGAATTTTTTAAGATAAAATTGGAAGGAAACTAAATTTTTGAACAAATAATTACTTTGTATTTAAATTTTTACAAAACTGATTTTGGCAAATTGATTCTTAAAGACTGTTC